TTTTAGAGAGGATCATAGTCTACCCCTCAATAATGGCCACTCAAGACATCAACAACCTCAAGTGGGCAAAGCTTAAAGGGGAACCTGCTGAACCATTAAAATGAATTCACTTATGGTCTAAATGGGGAAACAAATCTGACTAACACATAGTCTGAAACTAAAGTAAATGCAGTTTTCAAAGATAAAAGCCAATGTAAATGAAAGTTTGACATTCTGTGACTATTAATACCTATGTACAGTATACCATCCATTGTAATTGAGTGACCTTGCATTTGTTCTGTTACATAACAAAAATAAAATAAAAAAGAACTTAACTTACTTTAGTTACATTTGCCAATTTCATCCTGCATGAACTAAAACATTCACTAACGCACATTTCACCAACCTTTCCACCACCGTAGGTGAGGTCAAAGCTGCCGATGATGGAGTTGGCCACCATAAGTGGCACGATGTCTGGGCTAGCAGCACTGGCCCCCTCCACAGCAATGGCAACGTGTGCTAGAGGCAAAGCATCATCACGCATACGGATCTGAGGAGAGGCAGGAAAGGATCAGATCAACAAGAGAATTCATCATGAAATAATATCCCGAGCCATTCTCTATGCTCTGTCACAGGCCAGAATCACATGCACATAGCACATCAATCTCAAGTTAATTAACTTGACTCAACTTACAGTAGAATAAGAGATCATATAATAAAGCACACAGAACAAAGAAAAATACTCAACACATCTCACCTCACTGCCTGTAAATCTGCAGGGTGACAGCAGAGGGATGGCATCTCCCTCATACTCAAAGGACAGGCCACTAAAGTGAGATTTGGCCAAACCGACCAGCTCCTCGTGGTTCACACCTGTAGAGGAAAGACATCGGATGAACAGAGTCGTTCCAGGAAAAGTAGAAATTCACAGGCAACCAGCGTGCCTCCTCAGAGTGTGTGTTAAAGGAAGACTCACCTCCAGCAGCAGTCAGCACCATGCGAGTGGCTTTGTAGTGGCTGTTGATGTAATCCACTAGGTCCTGGCGGGTCAGGGTCCTGGGAGAATTGAATAGAAGTTACATTGTGACAATTTATAATGTTTTGACAGCAGTGAGCCTTTGATGAAAGCAATTCTGAGATTGTGACTAATATTTGGCTGCGTGTCTTGCCTGGCATTGTTGGATGGTCCCAGCACACTCTGTGAGAGAGGAGTGCCCTGGAAGGCTGTGGCATGCAGCATGTCTAGGCAGACATCCTGGAGGTTACTCTCAACCTCCTCCAGCTCACGCAGCACCACACCCCTCTGCTGCTCGATCTCCGCCTCGTTCAGTGAGCAGCTCTGCACTACCTCTGACAGCAGCTCCACGGCTGGGAAAACACAGAGGAAAAATTATTGTCCACAAGTAAGAGGGGATATGCTCATACTTAGTTGTTGCTGGCCCACACAGTAACTGGGATTCTCCATCAGATATGTAAACATGTTAATCAGTTTATTCTTAATGCCTTCATCTTACAAACAAGAATGAGTTTTTACAACATCTCTGAAATCAGGTGATTATAAAAACTAGGGAATGATCAGTTTATTTCACTGCTTGGAAGCAGATCATCTTACCTTTAGGCAGATCTTTAGCCAGGGTCTTCATGTAGTATGCAGTGTGCTCCCTGGAGGTGTAGGCACTCAGGTGAGCACCCATGGACTCCACCTGCTGCTCCAGGGCTGTCTGAGGGTGTTTCTTGGTACCCTGGGGGTTGAGAAGAAAGGTGAATGGAAGGAACTGTGTAGAGCTACCCCTAAAAACTCAATGATTTGAGTCAGTTGAGAAGACTGATAGGATAGGATGGTGAATCCGGACAGTGTGAGGCAGGGCAGCGGCTGCTCCATTGATGACTGACAGTGTAGTCAGCTATACTCTTTTGAACCAGACGGTGGAACGGCTATCTACTGCCATCCACTGTGATTGACACACTTTGCGGCTGACAGTGCTGTCAGCAACCCAGCAGGAAAGACACTCTGTGGTGCGATGGAAGTGTGGAAAACTGTTTTCACATAATATGAAGAAAGGCATTGAAACAAGAGTCTTACAGGTAAAACGTGAAATTCATGTAGGATGATATAGGGGTTTAGTGTGGTGCTGAACTGAAATGAAGAAAAGTTTTGAGTTGGGTATAGCCAAACTGTGTAATGGTATTGTTTGTCTAACAGGCAGACATAAAAGTTTAATGGGAGACTTAAAGGTATCCTGTAGAGTTCTTTAACCTCTAGTAGCACTGTGGAGCAGT